TATGCAAACAGGACACAATTATTCCCAGCAAATAAATTATTAACCCTTTAACTCCCACATCAAATTAAGTTCTCCTTACTCCCAACCATACAATTCTCATAATGTTGGTCCAGAGAATTTAGTACTGGATCGACAAATTATCCCCAAATTTATATTTTTCTTTATTCTCATCACTTATCTGGTTGATATTGTGTTGATATTGTAAGGAGAAATTCTGTCTTGGTCACTCATGGCAATTAAAGGGTTAAAACAGATTGACAAAATGAAGGCAAGTTTCAAAAATGAGAGGAAAAAAGAGCAGCAAGTCCTCCTACCTTGTATAGAGTTTCCTGGGTTCAAGAAAATAGCCCTTGAATCAGGGATTAAGTCAGAAAGTCTGAAAAGGGAAGCAGCAGAAGAACAGTTACCATATATCAGTTATGAAAGACAATGACAGTCACAAATAAAGGCACTAACAGGTGCCCCAATGTTATAAGTGGTATTAACGGCAACATTATATAATTATATCAGAGTAACTTCATATTATCAACTGAGTTAATAATGTAAATTCACCACTGTGTCAAGTTTAAAAGTTGATGATTTGTATGTCAGCCCAATTGCTCTGACGAAGGGTTAACACTCAAAATATCATCTTTTTAAACCTTATCAACTCAATTGATAATACTAAATCATCCTGGTATACTCTCCCACACAGGCAGCACCACAGTAATTCTACAGAAACTTACCCCCATTAATCATTTAAAATTATCAAAAGTCAACTAGAATTAAAAAGCAACAACAAAAACAACAAAAACCACCATGATTCACAGAGGCTGACCAAATGTGACCCTCCATATGATTTCAGGGACAAAGGTGATAACACACGCACAACACACCAACACATCTTGCAGAATGCCCATTGTTCTCGCAACATTTACTAACAGTAGTGAAAAATATATAGATCTGTAATATATTAGCAGTGAACTGTACTCTGGAGACCTTTGATTAGTCATAGATTCAGAGGTTTCCTCCTCAGGGAATATCACTCTAGCTCATTAACTGTTCAAGCAGAGCTAAGAAACAATAGCTTAAGAGAAAGTTATTTTTTATGCTATTGTTACAAAAAAATCATCCATTTGTGTTTGTGTTACATGCTGGACGAGCATTCAATTTTGAAACCTTCCATTACAGATTCATCTCTTTCTACACCTTACTCAAGAAACACTTTGGTTCTATCATTAACCATATATAGGATTCTATTTTCATTGGAAAAATCCACCTGCACAATTTTTCTAGAATAGTTAGGACATAATAAAGTCTTAAAAGTCACTTTGACACCTGTTTCTTCGAAACAAATCATGCCCTAATGATTTCAAGAATAATGAGCGAAATTCCATGTTACAAAAATAACATTCAGAGACCAATTTTTGGGAAACTAATTTCCTTAGCAAACTTATTTTGCACAGTTTTCAATTCATAATTTGTACGAACATTCCTCACAGGGTACTTAACTATCAGCAGAAAAGAAACTTTCGTTTCTTTAACAAAAGCTTCCAAACTTTTTGTGTTAAACTCTGTCACAGCCACGACAAAAAAAATCAACCTGCAATTTTTTGTAGTAATTTTTTTTACTCTTTACAGTGGCCAATTTACATTTTCAACTCAGTTGTTAACACAAAATTACCTGCAATTTTATTGTGTTCACTAGACACTTTTTTCTTGTGAATTGACTATTAAGCCAAAATCATTTGATAAAGATATGAACAAAGCTGCTCCATAGCTTTTTTAAAATCCAGTTGTATTCCTTATTCTGTTGTTAGATTTTGTGCTTGAGGTAAAAACTTCCTATTATGTACATTTCACAATTTTTGTTATGGACATCACACTGTGGAACGTTTTCTTAGACTGGTATGAATGAGGGAATATTTTTATTAATTCATGAACTATTGATTATTGACTTTGTCAGAACTGATAAATTTATCTTAATCAGGCCCAATTACAAGTTTATTCTCTTTTCTGGCGGTGCTGATAATCATAACATTATAATACAAAACTTAGGTGTACATGTAACTGTGGTATCTGGAGTATCCCATAAAGAGCATACTCTTTATGATTCACGATTATGGTTTTATTGAGCATGCTCTGACTAGTGTTTCTGGTCTCTTTTGGTTCTTGCTTTCTAGTGCAGATTTCTAGTGTGACACTGAATTTTACATTAGAAGAGCCCTAAGGGTTACTGATAATGAGGTTGAACTCAAATTTCTTCACAAAGTTGTGAAAAACATTTAACTGGCCTCTGAGGAGCAATATTGCTATTGTCCACAACAGGAGAGTCTTTTATGGCTCCGAAGAGCTGAAAGGCACAGGACATTTCAATGCTCCAAGTCTTTTGTATATCGAGAGGCTTTCTAAAAATGAAAATTCAAAAAGAAAATGTTTTCAAATAAATAATCAAACTAATGACAGAGAACAGTAGTTAAACACTACTTTAATTACGAAACTTGGATTATTCTGAACTTTT